GAGAGTGTGTGTGTGTCTGTGTGTGAGAAAGATAGAGAGAGAGTGTGTGTGTGTGTGTGTGTGTGTGTGTGTGTGTGTGTGTGTGTGTGTGTGTGTGTGTGTGTGTGTGTGTGTGTGTGTGTGTGTGTGTGTGTGTGTGTGTGTGTGTGTGTGTATCTGGGTCATGCTTTGGCTCGGGGCTTCAGAGCTTTCAGAGGGATGCAAAAAGACAGATGTGGCTTTTCAAAACACATTTGCTCTTCTGATGTCTGACTGGATGAGTGAACACAAAATAAAGTGTATTATATATTGCAACAAAAAAAAAATGTTTCAACGTTAGCAATTATGACTTCCTTGAATATCAGATTGCTGTGTAAGTAGTAGTCAATTTATAAATAACTTGTGAATTATAATGCTATATTGCATACATAATTATCCATCTATGACTTTAGCTTATGTCTTTTTCTTCTTCTTTTAAGATTAAATACCATGGCTCATGTATTTTGTGCCTCTAATGTGACACGTTTAACTCTCTTCATACAGTGTTGTTGTGATTGAGCGATGCAGTTTAGCCTTGCTTTAACATCAAGCATTCACACTGCATTATCTTCAGGATTGAGGGGTTTTCCCAGTAAAGTCACAAACTGGGGGGAATGGGTCGGGTACAATTTGATTCCAACACAATGCTACTGTGGAGGAAATCTAATCAGATGACTCTGTACTCCAGTCGCAGAGTGTGTTACCTGTATCTCTGCAGACTCCTCATGGACCTCGGACAGACGGCTGTGCCGCTCTGACCTCCTGGGAATCCTTCTGTTCCTGTGTGAAGGTAGGTCTGGAGGAAGTATTTACTTTACTGAGGTACTAAAACAACACTTTATCCATCCAAATATGAAGATGTAACATGTTCCAAATTAGGGTTATATAATCATTTATGGTGTGTTTTAATATTTGATATACTGTTGGGCATAAAAAGCGTATAAAAGCTTTGTCTCTGTATCTATATACTTGAAAACGACCTTGTTTTCAAGTACCTGCACTTAGTTAGGCTTTGTAGGTCTGTCACACAGCCATGCCCAACAGATCTTTCATTTCTTGTCCTTTTTGTATTTAAAGCTCATTATAAATGTTTCTGCACAGGGAAAGCCATTTACTCTGCATGGCAGCTGAAATGGATCAGAGTACCATGCATGGACATCAGGCCCGGTTCTGGGAGGAGATCCCGGAAGCACAAAGGTAAATATACAACATGTTAAGTAGGAGTGTAACATGTATAAGATGACGTTAACCCGTTTTTATCTTATTTTTTATTCTCATGGTGACGGTGTTCACAGTTTTTCGGGCAGTCGCTCTGTACGTCCACTTCTCACACGGCTACACTATCTGGATCACGGCTAAAACCTGAGTGGAGGGTGCTCTCAATGTGGCTCTTTTTCTTGTCACAGCAGCATGTTAACAAGGGATTGCACATTTAAACTGGCATACAAATAAACATAATCACTATATATGCATATCTATTCTAAAATGATTCTAAAGGGATTTTAATTATACTTATTACTTATGTTGAGCAGGGCTTTTACTTGTATCAGAGTATTTTTACTATTTGGTATAACTACTCTTACCTGGGTATGATATCTGAAACTCTCTGTCTCTAAAGTGATGCATGTTTGTTTTGTAAAAGTCCATTCCAAAATTCCTTTCTTGTGAAAAATAAAAAGTATTATTCCAAGTAAATCAAACTCTGCTGGGATGGTTTGCTTTAAATCCTGTGGAAAACGCATAACACTACAACTAATCATCAAACACCTCGGCTTACAGGGTAAGTTTCCTATTTTTAAGAGAAGGAGAACCCCCGAAAGCACAATGGGTCCTCTTCAATGAGATACAAAAGGGGCCTTGACATGACGGTTGAAGCACTTACACTTCCTTCCCCGGAAACAAAAGGTTTTCAGGTAGTTTGAAGTTCATATCTGCTCTTCCGCCTTTAGTTTGTCTACCGCCTGCAGAACTGTTACTCGTCTGTCAATATGGATGGACTGACTCTGTTTTATTCTCTGATTCTGCCCCTCTGTTTCGGCTCTGAAGGTACAGTACAGGAGCTTTTCTTTGTCAGTTTGTACTTTGTTAGATAAGGAGTCAAATGTCCTTTTGAATTCACTTCTTAACCTTTCATGCAGTGACTATAATGAAAACCATCGGGAGGGAACCAGACGTCACTGAAATATGTGTTAATACTACACTGAGTGCCATCACAATGATAGTGTGTAAGATCAGAACAGAAAGGAGTGAAGAGTGTCTTCTGCTGTTTGAACCGATAGAGGGCTTCGTGCAACCATGTGACTCCAGGTTCTCTCTGAAGACGGAGAATCAGACTGTGTTTCTCCACCTGATGAATTTAACACCAGTGGATAGTGGGAAGCACACCTGTGAATGTTCTCATAATGGAGGAACAGATATCATGCATCTGAACATCACTGTGGAAGGTAAATGTAGATTGTAAAAACGTTTGCATGATGTCTACTTGGTGCAAGTGTTCTTTTTCTAACCATTTTCTTTTCTTTAAGATGTTTATTTAGAGGATGTAGACGGCATCATTTTCCCTCAAATACAGATTCCAGGTATTTTGATTGGTGCAGCTGTATTCATCATCATAACTGCAGTGACCATCTGGTGTGTCTGCAGGAGAATACATCAAGGGTGAGAGACTTCTTTAATATTCAGAATATCTCTCAAAGATATGCTTTATTTTCTGTTTGTATTTGATGTTTTACTAACCCTTCCTTTCTTGAAAGTGTCTGTTCAAGGTCAGCCACATCTGGATCATCTGTGTGTGAGAATCCCGGTAATTTGGTGAGTGATGCTTTCTTTAAACTCAGAAAGCAGTCAGTAGATGTGTATAAAATAATATATAAATGATGCACAAAACCTATATGTCACACTACAGGAAAGGTAAAGCCCTAAAAGCACATTAGGACCTCTTTAAAACAAGTATTGCATAAAGATTAGTATTTTCCCAGGATGGAGATGACCCTGATGACCCCTACACAGCCCTCCAACAGCCAGACAGTGATCTCTACCAGAGTGTCTCTAATTCAGCCGACAGAGAGACGGGTGCTTTGGAGAGCCAGAAGAAACACGGCAGAGAGACTGATGCAAGCTGCAAACTCTATGCTAACATGTAACCAAAATTAGCATATCACTTGTTTTTAAATCCTTGGTATAGTTGTTTTTTGTAAATGTTTCTTGTTCTCAGAATCTTAGTTGATGAACTAATTGACAAATTGTGTTTTTTGCCATTACTTCAGCTTTTTGTGTTTAATTCTTGGAATTTAAAAATAAATTGCAACTGCTTGATTGTAAACTAAATCATTAAAACACCTTAATACTCTAATATTGAAGAACAGTGTGTTTGTTGATGTGAACAAAGTGCTTGAAGTGAGATATGTTTTTGTAGCTTTTAAGAAAACTCTGCCAAATGCAGACGACACCCTGGTTTACTTGTTGAAGACACGAGGAACCAACATTGCATCGAGTTGCAGCTTTCTATTCACAGCCCGAGCTCAGGCCTCTAAATATGGGATGACCACAGAGCAGACACCTCAGTATTAGCAAGTTTTGTGACGTACAACTCAAACTAACCTCAAGACCAAAGCATGCTACGCTTGTAGACCTGCTGATCTGCATCGACACCGGCATAAGAAGTGTTAAGATTCAGTAAGAGTGTCGTCATTTGAAAGCAGAAGCTCCTGAGAGCACTTCCTTTAATGACATTTCCCACCTCCTGTGAGAGTGAGAGGTTTAGGTGTTCAGAGATGTGCGTCCTCTTCTCTTCAGAACAGGATCCACTCGCTTCTTGACCGGTATGGAGGCAAAATGGAGACTGTTCTTCGTTCTGCTTCTGCCACTGACTGCGTGCGAAGGTAATGAACAGAAAACACGTTTTTAAAAATGTATGCAGGTTGTTTTTATCTGTCTTTGGTTTAAAGAGGACAACTTACAGTTTCAGTTTTCTTTAGTGGGATTACAATATAATTTAGTCACAAAATCTACAACAACAGCTGCTAACTCAAACTTTCTGCATTTCTTTTTTTTTAAGGTTAATATCTGCTCTTTCACCTTTAATAGAGTTTAAAGAGTACAGATTATGATCATTTTCAGGTTCATATTTGTATTTTGTGCCTCTACTGGGACATGTCTCCATGCTTTAATGTTCAAAAAGCTCCTCTTTTCACCCTCTGTCTGAAACCAGAGCCCATCTGCTCTGATTGGTTAGCTGGCCGACTCAGTTGTGATTGATCACAATTTAGAGATTATGCTAGTTTTGCAATATACAAAAAAAATCCTCATAAGCTTCTTAACTTTTGTTTTTTTGCAGTGACTATAGTGAAAACCATCGGGAGAGGACCAGACGTCACTGAAATATGTGTTAATACTACACTGAGTCCCATCATAATCATAATGTGTAAGATCAGAACAGAAAGGAGCGGAGCAGAGTGTTTTCTGCAGTATGAACCGATAGAGGGCTTCGAGCAACAATGTGACTCCAGGTTCTCTCTGAAGACGGAGAATCAGACTGTGTTTCTCCACCTGATGAATTTAACAGCAGAGGATAGTGGGAACCACACCTGTGAATGTTCTTATCCTGAGGGAACATATATCTACCATCTGAACATCACTGTGGAAGGTAAATGCAATATTACATCAAACTGTGTGTACATTCTTACAAATAGAGCGAATACCAGTTTCACATTTCTAACAATCATGTTTTTCTTTATTACATTTTAGAAGACAGAGAGGAAAGCAGTTCAACACAAATGCAGATTCCAGGTATTTTGATTGGTGCAGCTGTATTCATCATCATAACTGCAGTTACCATCTGGTGTGTCTGCAGGAGAATACATCAAGGGTGAGAGACTTCTTTAATATTCAGAATATCTCTCAAAGATATGCTTTATTTTCTGTGTATTTGATGTTTAACTGACTCTTCCTTTCTTTAAAGTGTCTGTTCAAGGTCAGCCACATCTGGATCATCTGTGTGTGAGAATCCCGGTAATTTGGTGAGTGATGCTTTCTTTAAACTCAGAAAGCAGTCAGTAGCTGTGTATAAAATAATATATAAATGATGCACAAAACCTATATATCACACTACAGGAAAGGTAAAGCCCTAAAAGCATTTTAGGGCCTCTTTAAAACAAGTATTGCATTAAGATTAGTATTTGTCCAGGATGGAGATGACCCTGATGACCCCTACACAGCCCTCCAACAGCCAGACAGTGATCTCTACCAGAGTGTCTCTAATTCAGCCGGCAGAGAGACGGGTGCTTTGGAGAGCCAGAAGAAACACGGCAGAGAGACTGATGCAAGCTGCAAACTCTATGCTAACATGTAACCAAAGATCAAGAGAACAGCTCTGTATAACATGTTGACACTTTTGAGATGATCCTACAATAATATCCCTTTTTGTCATTAACAAATCCGCGTTGATTATTCAAACTTTTTGGGTTTAATGATGG